CCGGAGCTTGTACGTGAGTAGCTGCACACATTGCAGCAACGTCCCACCTTGAAAAACGTAGTTAGGCCCCCGGGGCCGTCGGTTTCAATCGCCTTGTCAATCCGGGACGCCCACCTCCGGAAGTGGTGCGTGGCTGGCATAACGTGTGAATCATTAGGTTGATTGCAGTATCAACCGATAGAACGACTGATATCTTCAGAAAACTTTTATGTACGTGCCTCTTTCCCAGCAGCCTCCTTCAACTGCTAGTGGAACGAGGGTTTTGGTTACTGACCTTGTCGAGCGGTTTTTTCTCAGTTTTTTCTCTACTGCCGTTTTACTTCACATCTCTATACTCAGTTTCAATCGTCCAATATAACCCAGTTATTGAGCCCGGACTTTCGCCTTTAAAGTACATCAGTCTAATTATCAACACTTCATTCATAAGGTTATATCTTCCACAAAGTGGTATGAGAAATTTTCAGAACTACAAATTGTTCCTTTTCTCAGAAATGCCGTGGAGAGACCATTGACTAGGGTGTACATCTGTTTACAATGGAGGTCAACACTAATCCCTTAGAATTTCGCATATACACATGGAAATGGCAAGGACTTTCAGGACAACGCTAATAGTTTGACTATGGACCGCCAGTGCCGATAAATGAGGGAAGTTTTGGAATACCCCCCCCTTCCCCTAGGGCTGAATCCATGAAACGACTTTATTTACAAGCCTAACTAATAAAAAGGATTGTTCATTCTCCTCGAAACGCTTCATGCAAAAATGCCCTGCTACCCCACCCTAAAACATAAAGTCGTTCAACAAGCACAAATGTAGCAAAAGTGAAAGTGTGAAAAGTCACAAAGATTATTATCAATAGTCTTACCAAAATGGAGCGAAAAACGACGAACTAGTCATGAAAAAAGCAGACTATGTCAGCATCTCTTCTTCCTATACTTATTTTAGAAGGCTTACCAAACATCAGTACTACACAGGGTATGCTTTCAACCTCTATATATGTCCACCTTTCGGCTCGAAGAAGCTTCGTGACCGCCTTAGCCAGCAGCTTTGTGTTGATGGATCTTGCGCGTTGGCCATGGAACAGTTTATCTGCTATTGAAATTCAAACACAAATTCAAATTTTTATATATTCCTCAAATGTTAACGAATTTTCAATCTTAAAGAAGATTCGAAATTTTTTTTGGAGAGTTCCTTCCGTACATTGTTTAAATTACGAAAATTAAAGGGCAAAGGTCGGGCTCAGACACGCCAGTGAAGTAATTCCCGTGCAGGGAAGTTGTGTTTGGATAGCTGCACACATTGCAGCAACTTTCCACCTTGAAAAACGTCGTTAAGCCCCCGGTGCCGTCGGTTTCAATCCGAGACCGCCTCGCCAATCCGGGACCGCCTACCTCCGGAAGTGGTGTGTGGCTGGCATAACCTGTGAAACGACTAGGTTGATTGCCGTATCAACCGATAGAACGATTGACATTTCCTGAACTTGTTTGTACGTGCCTCTTCCCCGAGACAGCCTCCTTCACCGCTTGTGGGAAAGAGGGTTTCGTTAACGGCCTTGTCTACGGTTTTTCTCAGTTTTTTCTCCACTGTCGTTCCACTTCGCATCTCTACACTCAATTTCAATCGCCATAAACCCCCTTATTGAGTCCGACTTTTGCCTTTAATGAGAAATAGCACATTAGGACTGATTAGTGACGGAAATTCATGATGAGTCCGAGTTTTAACGCTTTCCAAAGCCATATCCGTTCAATCTCGTCCAATCTTGGAAGCTGATATGTAATTACGAACTAGAAGATTTGCTCTCTCCTACTGTTTCTAGTCCAGCTTAATATATCCACTCTTTCGAAAACGCCACGTTTAGGATTTTTGACTGAATACCGCCGAAAGGTACTTTTTCGCTGCATTGCACATTTCAACGACTATACTTTCAGGGGCGATTGTATACTGAAGTAGGAATCAGCGTGCTTACATCCCTCCAAAAAGTGTGAAACTGTTTGGCGATACCCAATTTTAACACTTATATGCTCATGAATTTGACGCTGAAGGTTGCATTTTTTGTTTAATAGTGGACTCCTCCCTGGACTTCGGCACGGACCCTTTCAGAATCATCTCCATTTCTCCTATGTTGAGATTTGCTCTTCAAAGAGCGCTCGCAATGAATCAGCCCACTCTGGGATGCACCGTGTGCTTCAGTTGCCTTCATATTGGAGGACTCGTTTGAGAAATAATATATTCCTTGGAAACCGTGCAAGTTTCTGATTCTTTAACTTTTGTCGTGATAAAACACTAGATTAACCAAGAATTACTACGCGGACCCCTTTGAATCACGAAAACTTAATGTGGGCGGAATACCACTGTTAATGGAAATCCTCTGGCTTTCCGTGGCGTCGATACGATCCTTGATGTTTGTCCACCGACAGTGATGGCCTACTGCATCGATACGCCCCAGAACATCGCCA